AACAAAAGCCACCAGGCCCTGTGAGGGACACATTTGCATGCGGCAAGCGTTGCCCGAGGAAAAAGTAATTGCTAATGCATATTTATGTGGCACAAATTTGCCATTTGTTTATGCATAAAATTATCAATAGTGCAGGGCGGCCCAGCCGTAGAAAATGGTGACCTTTTTAGCTTAATAAATAGAAATCAGCTGTTATTGTGAAGAGATCAGCCATTTATTCTGTGTTGAGGGACACTGTCAGGAAAATGTAGATTGGTGCCGGCAATATCATTAAATGGAGGGCCAGTGACCCTTTCGGTATAGTCTATTATACTTTATCTAATAGGCGATAAATGACTCTGGTTGGCAAATAGATTTAAAAAAAAAAACAACACACCAACAAAAAACCCACAACCCCTCCAGACCTTTCTCATTCCTCAGCCTTATGACCAGGTAGTAGATACTGATGAGGTAATCTTGCACAAGCCTGCTGGTGGTATTTTTCTATCAGAAAAGTGACTTGATAATACAACCCAACCCCCCAAACCCACTCTGTTTAAACCTGTTTTGATTGTTTGGGGTTGGACCGGGTAAAATGGCCAAAGCCAGCATGTGATTCTCCCTAGTCCATGCCCCAACAAGCAATACTCTGGAAGGCCCAATCATTAATCTTATTTTGGCTCCTGAAATGAGAGCTCATCATCTGGAAGTAGAAGGTAGGGTTGTTTCTGCAGACGGCAGGTTTTCAAAAACAGGGATTTTTTTCCTCATCTTTGTTCTGTTTTTAAAGAGCGGATAAGAATTTGTGAGATTCTCAAGACAGACTCAAGACACTGAAGACATCATAGGCAAAACAGTCTTGATGCTTCTCCACTAATTCACCTCAACCTGAATAGGCAGGCTTAAGACTTGAAGAGTCTCAAAACTAACAGCCGTAAGCCTCAGGAAGTTCATGTGAAAATGAAAGTATCTGCTGAAAACCCCACGTTTCTGTTTCTCTCTCATTCTGTTCTGCATAGTGCGCTGCACCGTGCATAACTGGAAGCAGCTTTATCCACCCCACAGGTGAAATATGGAGAGATGTGAGTCACAGTAATTGTAAATTGTTGTGGTTTTGGTGCATGATGGACTGGGCATTCAGTGTCTATCCCCAGGAACTATCCAGTAGATGTTTGTGCTAGCAGTATTTTACTTCTGAAAGGCAATGTTAGATGATGATGAGATAACTGGGCTGTCTTTGTGGGTAAGGCTAGGTGATATGAAATCCCACCCGTTACTGCAGTGGGACTGCTCGCCTTCAGGAGCTGGAGATGGGCCTCTGCCCACCCCTCTCCCTTGGGCTTACAGAACATCCCAACGTTGTTCTGTGCTGGGAAAGGGCAGATAAGAGGCATCTTGAGACTTCGCTCTGTTTGCTTCCTAAAAACCTGCCACAAGCTGATGTCATCCTTCCAGAAAAGCCACCACAATGATGGCACTGAGTGGCATCTTCCTGGCAGCCTCAGTGAAGTGGCAAAGGAGTGAATGGGATGAAGAAACCTGCCAGCTGCGTCAGTGGAAACCTCTGGGAGACAGGGCTGTGTGGGGCTGATGGTGTGGAGGTTGTGCTCAGAGGCAGGACTTTTGTCCTGGAGGCTGTGTCACTCTCATTTTCACTGCTCTCAAAGCTCAGGAAGAGTTTTTGTTGTTGTTGTTTTGCTGTTGTTTGTTTTTAATAATAAAAACTAGTGATACCTCATATGGATCATAAAACATAGTATAGGATATATGAGGATGTAATACAGAACACTATAATAATGTGGTAAAAGGCTTTGTTAAGAATATGCGCTACTGTTCAAGACTTCATACCAATGTTTCCTTGTGTATCAGGACAGTTGTTTTGTGTTTCTCTCTGCACTTAATTCCTGTGCACAGAGCTCTCACCTCTTTCTGGAATGCTGCCCTTTTCATCCCAAATCATGGGCTCCAAACCATGTTGCAGTATAAAAAATATTAAAAAGAGGAAAAAAAAAAAGTACTGTACGACATGTTATGGAAATGGAGGGAAGGTGAAAGAAAAGCTAATGAATTTGCTTGGGTGCATCCTATGAAATCACAGATAAGGTCATGGATAAGGTGCAATGAAATTTAGTTACAGAGTAGGATCTAGTTTGTGGTTTGTTTGTTTGTTTTTCTGGTTCCATCACTCCTCTCACAACCATAACCAAGAACCAAAGTTTCTGAAATCTTTTTAAGCATTTGGGGATTGCCTTATATTTTCATTAATAACAGCTAAAATTATATGGTATTTTTACCTTTACATACATATTTTTAACCTCACTTAAAGCTTTGCTTATTCCAAGTATTTTTTTTCCAAAGGCTCCTTTCTCATTACAGATAGCCCCAGCTCTGCTCCTGAAGAAACTCTGTACATCAAACTCACAGCCAGTTACTAGCCTAAGTTTTACTTTTTCTTTTCAAACAGTCATTAAAAAAAAGACTTTTGAAGTATGCTATTTCACACCAAGTAGTAAGATTTATGTAGATAAAATTAACAAGTAGAATATTTTGAAGTGTATTTTATGGGAATAAATTGTGGGCCCACACTGTTGTAAATTAACCCAGCTCTACCTGAGATTCTAGCTCAGGATATTACTACTATTTTCACAGTTGTGGTGGTGGTGGTTGTTTTTATTCCCTGATTTTTTTTCATATCTGTAACTGATCAGGTGCTTCGGCCTACTTGGGGAAGAGACTGTGCTAAGTACAGGAAAACAGAAAACAAGGCTTCTTCAAAAATGTAAAAATATCTAGGTTTATGGAAAGTCACAACAGTTTTCTAACGAATAGTTGCTTGAGGGAGGAGATAGGTCAGAGACAAGACAAGGATGAGCAAGTATCAGTGATCAAAGTTTTTAGTCAAAGACACAAGAATGAGTAAAATGACTGTTACTTTTTCTTTGTAATTCTGCTTACATGAGGAAGACGTGGGGCATCACTGCCTTGGTTCTAGGCTACTGGCAAAGACAAAAATATGTAGGGGAATATTTGTTTACTGTGAAGGGATACGGGTCTGGTCTTCCCATGATGTGTCATAATTGTCCCGGGATCTGATCCTAGGTAGGAATGGGTGGACTGAGGCTTGTTCCTTCTTCAGCTCTGGACATGTGTCAGTTGTATTAATAATGTGTTAGGGTAGGAAAATGAAGGACAAATTTTATGTTGTGCTAATTAGTTGATGAACATTTAATAAGATAACCAACCTGATGGAAGATTTAAGCAATTTATATTTTCTGGTTCTCTGGGATGTGGTTATCCAGGTAGTCTGGTAGGTCCTGCAGATCATTCCTTTTTAAGGAAATTTTGCTGGCTTTCCCTCACTGAAGACTGACTGTTTTCCCCCTTCTTTGACATGATTTACAGGAAAAGCCCATAGAGGTATTCATCTTGCTAAGAGCAAAATTTCATGTTTGAGTAAACTTCTGTGTAAAATATAGAGAACACATTTCTGCTTGCTCATTTGACTGCTGAAAAGCAAAGTAGGAAATGGAGGTTTGTCCTAACAAGGCTTGCCTGCATGCAGAGCTCAGTATTGAACCAAGAATGGCTGTCTTTTGAAACCTCACCCACCAAGCTGCTTTTGGTGCCTCTTGTTTTCCCTGGATGCTGTCAGAGCCGTAGGGCTGGCAAAATAGTTGCATCCAGTTAAACCAGTAGAGAAAGTGATTGGTTTTATGTGTTGAGGTTACTTACTGCAGAATTTGGTTGTGGGTTTTGGGGTGTGTTCTGTGTTGATGAATGAATATAAATGCTTGTTTTCTACTCCAAATGAACTATTTTGGTTAGACTAGATTGATATTAATCAAAAAGCATAATGCAGCTTAGGGATGCAAAACCTGTCCACCACTGGCCACCTGAGATGGTGTGGGCTTTGGCTTGCATGAACTTGACACATCAGGGTCTCAAGGATGATCACAGACTCATGCAACTTTTTTCACGTGATCCAGTTAAATAATGGTAGTATGAATATTTTATGTGTCCAAACCACTGCTCTGATGTACACATGGGAATCATGTAAAGCCTGTTTTCCCTATTTTACAACTAGGTAAACTGAGGCACAGTATTGGGAAGCCTATGGCTAGGCAGGGCCACGTGGGTCAACCAGCCCTGCTGCACTCCTTCATGCAACTATGTCATGGGACTCTGCTCACATGTGCCTCAAAACATCTCCCTCCTCTGCAGTAGGTCTGTGTCCTCTCTCCCCTTCAACAATTTGGGAATAAAACAGCAGCAGCCCCAACTACAGCAAGAGCCTGGGGTGCATCACACTCGTGAACCATGCAGGATGGGGTGGGGTTTGGGAAGTCACGCTGTCCAGCTTTAGTTGTTGAAGTTTAGGGCTTGCTGTCTCAGTGGGGGGAGATGCCTCCCCAAAACTCAGGTGCCACTTGGAGACTCTGGAGGCAGGGGTCTAAGTCACAGGGCAAGTGCATGATAACCTCTAGTCACAGGGTAACAGCTGAAAGCAGAGCCAGATGCAGAAGGCTGCTTGCTCCCGGTCCCGTCCTTGCACCACTAACCATGCTAAGCAGTCTAACCACACAAGCACGTTGTACTGGTAGATACTGTTGTACTGTGATAGAAGAAACAGAATCGATGAGGGTAGGTTAGCTGTTTAAACACTCAAGAGAAACAGGAGTATGCAGTACTATCTTTCTTCTGGTTTGAGCTTCATATTGATTTATCATGATAAGAGGTGCCACTTTAGTTCTAATAATGTCTATTTTTCTTTTCTTTTCTTTTCTTTTTTTTTTTTTTTTCTTTTGCTATTACATATTTCTATGGCAGCTTTTACATGTGATATATTTTGGGTCACACATTAATTTACACCAGCCTCTGTTCTGCAAAAAAGAGTTCATGAACTAAACGAAAAGCGACGGGGAGGGGGATGTCTAGCAGAGCCCAGGGTTTTGTTTCATGTTTTGGATGCATTTTCTTTTTAAAATAAAATTGTTGATATGCATTTGCTTTTATTTTTCCAGCCGTCCTCTTGCTGATGACCGGGTTCCTGTTTGATCCTGTTTACAAGCTTCCAAAGATTGAAAATAACCCCAACTCCTCTGCATTGGGTAGGAAAACAAAACCATATAAAGACACACTGCAATTACTCTGGAGGGCTAGCAATATGGAAGAGTGTGGTGTGAAGGAAGAGCTTGTGGAGAAAAAGGAGAAGGTTACTAGGTTACCACAAAAGACATTAGTGTACACAATTTTTCTCACCCACTCTTTTGGGCTGGGGAGGAGGGGGAGGAGTGGGCAGATCAGCAAGTAAAAAAGGATATTCTTCAGGATGTGTATTTCCCATGTAGATGTTTTAAGCTTATCTGTACTGTGTTACTCATTCAAGCAGTTTTGCAGTTCTATTTCAATGTATTCAAAACCTCCCAAGATATAATTTTGAAAGATTGGCCAGGGGAAGGGAGGTGTTTTTTGTTTGTTTGTTTTCTTTAGAAATTTACTGGCAAGATAAAGAATTTTTCCCTGAATTATTATAAATTTATAGATACACATGCAATATTTTATTAGTATTGATGTGTAAGTAGACATATCCTAAGTAATAAATTTTTACAAGCACTTTATAAAATGAAATACTTTACAGTTAAGGAGAGTGGGTGGAGGGAGAGCAATTCAGTTAAATGTTGTTTTGGGCCTGACAGGAGACTCAGCTATAGGTAATTCCACAGTTAGTGCATCGCGTTGATCCCATAGTAGTCCATGCTTAACCTGGCTGCCATGAATAATAAATATTTGCAGAATTACGGATTCAAAGATAAGTACCTTCTTCAGGTGTTTTTGTTTTGATTGCTATTGTTCTTTATCTTCCTATTGTGAACTTCGGGAAGAGTGGAACATGTCAAATGCTTCCGAGTGCCAGGAGATTACCCTGAGGTTAGGTTTTACCTAGCTTGACCAGGTTCCTCTCAGTCATGAATTCTGATATAATTTGAGCCTTTCCAGAAGGGAAGTGGAAAACACTACCACATCAGACATATACAAATATGCAGACAAATTCAGCCACAGTGACAGATAGCACTTATGTCTGGTCTTCATGGGTGGAGGTAAAAGAAAAGGTATGGAGGGCGGCAGGTAGCCATGACCAGTTTCACTGAGAGCTTAGGGCCAACTCTCAAGACGAAACCCTGGGCCAGCTTCTGGATTTCATTATGATTTTGTCCCCATGCAGGCAATTATTCCATGGTTCTTGTCAGGAGAAGACTTCTAATCAAGTCTGAATGCAGGGTTATGAGATTAACTGATAATATATTGATGTAAATCAGCTTTTTCTGCTTTGTAGTGATGCTTCAGACACATATCAGATGACAGTCTAAGTCAAGGTATTTTAAAGTGATTGATTTAGATACAAAAAGTTTTATGATTCACTTTTCTCTTTTCTAACTGTCAGAAGTCAGCTGTGACGTTCTTGTATTTCTTCCTCTTCTAAATAAGCTTATCAAAGAAGAAATCACTAATTTACCAACCAGTGCTTAGTAATCAAGGAAGTGAAACTTCTACTTTAGAGAAAGATGAAATTCTTTGCTGAGTTGCTGAATGATTTTAAATAATATAAGCTTTCCATGTTGTACTGGGCAACTGACTTTTTTTTAAGGCTTTCATTCTGAGAGGGGTCACCAGCCTTTGAGGATGAGCCACTTTGTTGACAAATCTGTCCTGTAAACTGAATGGCATTAATTAGAACTTGATGCTGTAGATTCTTACTTTTTAATGTGGGTGGTGGTATCAACAAAAAAATTATAATGAATTTGATTGAAGATGATTTTAAAAGGTCTGCCACCTGTAGATGAAAATGTGCATTACTACACATGATAATTATCAAGACTGAAGGCCATGACATGATCTGTTGACCTCTTGAAATCAAAACACTTACTGTAAAGAAAAAAGGGCACAGATTTCTCTGGCTATGTTAATATAGGATGTCTGTATATTCAACTATATCAGTACACTGTCATATATCTAGGGTAAAAGATAATTTGGATTATCTGTTAGACCCAAGTTTTCTGCCTTCTGCTCTGCAGTCTTGTAAATCTCTCACTAATTTTGTATGTTTTGAGATTTTTTATTATTATTTTTTTAATCTAATGAAATTGCTAAAAATATTCAGGTGTCTGAGACAGCAGCAAAATGTCTCTAAGCCACCCTACAAAAATAAATGAGTTTTGTGTGTGCAGGATGAAAAAGAATGTGTACAGAAACAGATTTAAGCTTCAGGCTTTCTACAGGGGCATTTGCAGTAAGGGATGGAAGAAATAACCCAGCAACTATCATTGTAAAAATTATGAAAAGCATTTTGATGGTCTTTTTTAAAGTCAGTTCTCTAAACGGGGGCCAAAGCAAAAGCCTGAAAGGCAACTCGTAGCTTGCTGTTAACAACCTAAGCCCATCGCTGCTATTTGCAGTTGAGAATGAGTGCTTCTGCATGCAGTAATGGTGAGAAAAACTAAAGGGAAATAAAGGATGCGAATGAAAGATTTTCTGTTTTCGTATGAGTACTTGGAACACCAAGCAAGCAAGGAAGCAGCAATTTTAGCTAAGCTTAATGTAATAGAAGACCATTGCACCCAAACTGTCTCAGCAGAACTTCCTGCATAATTAGATTGTAAATCTTCTCAACTGAGGAAGTTTTGCCCAGGGTCAGATTGTCTAAGTAATAATCCATTCTACATAAATTAGAAGATTTGAACTGCTGGGATACCTTATTACATTAGTTTGCTTTTTTTTTTATTATTATTATTATTATTCCTAATATAACTAAGGAGAACAAAAGCAACAATTCTTTTTCTTTTCTCTTTTTAATTATGTTACATCTCTTTAACTTTCGACTACCTCAGAAGGCCTTTCCTGTAGGTTTTTGGATTTTTCCTGAGCAATGATGAAGTTGCTGCCTAGGCAAATTAATACATTTTTAATATACTTTAGAAAGTGATAGCACAGAATCCTTTGGCTGCCGGATTCTGTGATATCACTTCCTCAGTGAAGCATTTAGTAAGAGATTCTGCTGCTCTTTACTTGTGCTGCAGTTTCTGTGATACTGAAGTTTTTACCTCACACTATGACTCCTTTGTTCTGCAAAGAATAGAATTGCCATCTTTGGGGTAAGAATTAATGGACGTTAATTTACTAACAGCTAGTTTACAGCAAACAAGCTCCTAAGTTTTTAATTCAATTATTTTCTTTGAGAAAAGGAAGATTGTGGGTACTGGACTTGTATATGCAACTATAAGTAAAAGTGACAGGGGCTAAATCCTGAGGTTGTTATGCAGGCAAAAATTGCCATTGGGATTTCGGTATTTGACCTGCACAAAGAAAACAGTGTTTAGTGTAACACCAATTAATGTGTAGGGACTTGTGCTTGTTTTTTTGTTCTACGCCTGACTTTCACTACAAAACGGAAGACTAGCCAGCTTTTCAGGACAGCATATGCTTATTTTTGCAGGAAAAAATAATTTACTGTAGATCTAGAAGGTTTTTTAATCATATTTAAAGCCGTATATAAGAAGCAGGCATATTGCAGCTTTTGGTCTAGACTCTCATGGTGTGTGTGTATACTCCACCATTGCTAAAAACTAGGGAGAGGGGATGTAGAGGGACTTGTTGGAAGTGCTCACGATGCTGTGAGGTTCAGGCTGCTGGGGCTATTTTGGGCTTGTGCCAACTCCACAGTCCCTGTTAGGTGCATGCACAAGATCTAGACTCACACAATGATAGTAACTGGTAGCAGGATTGCAAAGTCAGCTTGATCCAGGTTTATGGTGATTTTTTTTTTGTCAGATGTTCAAGTGTTGAGGCAGTTGAGAGATGAAGTAAAAGCTGTATGACAAAAAGGTTGGCTTCTGTTCTTAATGATGTTTTTAAATATCCATCTCTTGGTACTGAAAATTCATGTGTAACATTATGGTAATTTTTTTGGAAAGAGAAAAAGGAAACTGTCTGGAGTGGGGGAGGTAAGAATTCTCTATTTCCCATTTACTTCCTGTGTTCAAGGATAGAAAGTCAGAAATTGAATGGATAATTCTTGGATTTGAAAATACATTAATATTTTTCCTGGTCCTTGTTCTGTCTGCCCTGCTGACCACAGAGTCACCGGTCAGTTTACTCTGCAGTGCACTGGCAGCTGAAGGCAAAGCCTAAATTTTGATGGGGACAGCAACCACTCTCAAAGGTCCTGGAAACAAAGATACTTCCAGTCTCAAGGATGTGTGGTCACTCTTCTCTCAACTGCTGTGCAAGGAACTGATTTCAGCATGCTTTTTTTATTCTTATCTGTCACTGTGAGACCCTAATGGCTGTGGAAAAGGACTACCACTGTAAAAGACACAAGGCAAAGAAATTGAGGATCTTTAAAAGGCCTTTGAAACTGGTATTTCAGGAAAACACCAAAACAATTCAGGTGCCCTTGGAAAATGTAAGAGTAATGGAAATCAGGAGATAAGTGGAAGTCAAAAATAATGTTTTAAAATCCAGACTTGCTCTCATTACTGTCATTATAATCCTTATAAAATTACAATATATGCTTAAATTGTTCATTTTTATTATTATTATTTATTTAACAGCAAGTAGCAGTGTCTTTTTTCAGGAACTCCAGAAATAAAGAAAAGTCAGAAATCAGACCTCCAGACTACTTTTGAGGCAGAAATAATCCAACCATTATTTCTGGTGTAAAAGGTTTGTGAATAGCATCATTTGCCTAGAAGCTGTTTTCCAACCTAATAACTCCCAGAATAATGACCTAAAACTGTTTCCAAGAGGATTAAGGCCCATATAACTATTAGGAAGTATAAGTTTTTGAAAAAGCTTATTTCTGATTGGCTGAGAGATGAGTTCTGATTTAGGCTAAAGCTGCTAGCTTAGGAGAATCAGTTTCAATCTCTCTGAAGTCAAAAGTGTTGTAGTAATCCTCTGGAGAAGGATTGTCAGAGGGTTTTATATATAAATATATATATAAGTAGATGTATATATAGATGTTACTTATGGCTATAGTGACCTCAAAGATGGTCACTTAGCTGTGTTTTTAACCCATTTAAGAGGATGTTTTAATATTTGGCTTTAACTTGACTTGGAAAAAAAAAAAAGCATTCAAAATGGGCTGAGAACACAGCTGGACACTTAGCATGTTGGTTAATCATCATCTGAACACTCTTCATTGCAGAGACTGGAACAGAAATTAAATCTCTGCTGGTATTGCTGTGTCTATTTTCTTAAGGTTGCACACACTTATGTACCTTACTCTTGTTAATTGCTTTTTTAGTTAGTGTGACCCGGAGAGAGGAGAAAAGGTGGGCTCAGAATGACTTGGGAATATCTGCAGCACAGAGGTCAGGCATTAACAGTTAGAAGAATGGATAGATTTGCAATTGAATCCATTTGGTGAAAGTGCAACTCAGGGAGCAGCTCTTCAAATCTGCAAAGCTTCCCAACCATGCATCAAAATGCTGGTGACAGAAGTTGGCGGCAGAAAGCACGTGAATTCACACTGACATGGATGTTAACCACCTCTTGTTCCTCACCTTTTTGAAATAATCGGAGCTAATGCTGTAGCTTCTGGCAGAATCCCCAGACTGTTTCAGCAGATCTCACTGAAGACCTGAAATCACCAGCAAGTTCAGCCAGCTTTCTCCTAGGGTGCCTTCACTGACCACAGTCAGGATTGCTTTATATATGTCCCATGTATCCCAAGACCACAGTCATGTAAGGTGAGAATAAACATCTGGCATTAGCAAAGCAAAACAAAATTGTTTTAGTTACATAAGGAACTGCTATCACCAGTCATTTGGGAATTTATAATAATATACTCACATTGTATTAAATCTGGCCTTTGGGTAAGTTTGGCCTTGTGTGCAATGTAAAGGTGATTTAGCAGACCTTTTTACCAATAACGTAACAGTAAAATATGGCTGTCAACTGAGTATTTATTAAAAAAAAAAAAAAAAAGGTTTTGAGGGACACTGAAATTATCATTTAAAATGCAGAAGGGATTTAATCAGTGTTGGTACTTAGCATACAGCTGAACTGGGCCCTGTTCAGAAAAACTCTGATAATTTTTGCATTGGTTGATCATAACCACAATAGAGAAAGGCAAAGAAGTGTTTGCTGATCAGATCTATGGCCAAATTCTTATTTCTGATGCAGGATGCACAGTGCCAAAAATCTGATGCATATGCTTATGAAAGGTTTTTCTGGTTCTATATGCACTATAAATATATTCCACATGGCTTTATACAAAGCTCTCTGTTATTTCAGTAAATCAGAAGCTACTAAGCCAAATCCAAAGAAGGTGAAGCTCTGAATAAAATCCTTTAATATCTTATGATTTTGAAACTCTCATTTAGAACATGTTTGCTTCATTAATTTGTGGCTTTGGTCTCAGTTGGGTAAGCATTGAAAAGACGAGCAAAATTTAATGGCAAAATCTTTTCATAAAGTTGTCTTGTAGTTAGGCTAGCAGACAAGGAGAAGTTTCCTGTTTGTTTTCAGTATTCTTGGTTTCAGTTTTAAACCAGGCATATATAGTTTTTGTTAAAATAAATTGTTTAAGGAATACTGTTGCTGAAGATGTTTTCTGATGTGATCAAGTTTGGCAAAACAGCTTGTCTAGCATGAATACAAGTCTTTTCTGGGTTTTCACAGGAAAAATCTGTGCTCCCTCCATTCCCAGCTGTGGGTCTAAGAGCATGATTCATGATTACAGTTTTCTCTCCCTAAGGCTGCAGACAGGTCTGTCCAGTGGCCTTGTAGCTCCTCAGAATCTCTCCAGGCAGCACTGCAATGAAATCTGGCTGTCGTCTAGCTGTTTTACCTTTTTGATGTAAGAACTTTGAATTCCACCATTTGAATTTAGAAATACTAGAAAAGAGTGGAAGTGGATTAGCTTCAGAGGAATAGAGCTTGGTAAACCTAAGCAGTAAACTAAGAGCAGAACTGCAGAGTGACTTCCCCACTGCAACAGGTTGTTCTTGGTCTCTTCAGGTTGCTCTTGTTCTCTCTTTTTTTTTTTTTTTTTTTTTCCTAGCAGCAGCTGGATGTTTCTAACATAAAGTGCAGCATAGTTGTCAAGCTTGGTGATACAAATGCGATATCATCCCATTCAGTTGCTCCATCCCTTGCACGTAGTCAGACTTGTGGTGTCTTACTGTATTTTTTCCACATACACAAGCTTATATTCTTTATAGCATTGCAAATCTGAGATAGTAAACAGTCTACTC